AGCCGGCGGCGCTGCCTCTGCCGCCCCCGGCTGCTCCGGAGCCTGCGCCCCGCTCTGCGCTGCCTTGTACTCCTAGGCCTGCTCCATCCTCCATAACGACCACGCAATAAAAGTTGGTTTTGGACATTTTTATACCCCAAGTTGTTGCCTGCCTCATTTTCTCGAGTCTACAGAGCACAGAATTTGCTGGGAACCCAAAACATGGCATCCGGGCCCCAAAGCGAGCCCCGTGCCCAGCTCAGAGCCTCGCGGCTGTTGGTTCAGTTTCAGCGGACGGAACCCAGCCTGTGGTACTGTCACTCATTTCTCAGGCACCTGAGTTTGCGTTTGTGTTCACATGTGCTAGTGTTTACAGAAAGCACCCCAGCCATCACTCAGGGGAACTGGGGGGAGGGCACCTCACAAACGCACCTCCAAAGTCATCAACCAGCCCCAACATAGCATCCCGAGTCACATCTCGGTGTTCCCAAGGGTCTCCAAGACACACTTCCAGCTTTGGTTTCTCTGAAACCCGGAGGACTCCTGGGAACCCAACTCACATAATTAATTTTACCCTTTAAAGTTCGGTCTCATGTTAAACTTCTCCTAAGAACAGTTTCTACAGTTAACAAAGTATTCTACTTGATGATGTTTGAAATAGATCCACACCTGCAGGCCTGCACCCCCCGTGGCTGCCCCAGACAGGACTCCGCACGGGAGCGTTATGTGAGGACGTGACTCCAGGCAGTGGACTGGGACCTGGGCAGTGTGACTCGGGGAAGAGGGCACCTCACTAAGGGGGTACTGCCGTGGAGGATTCAGGGCTCAATCTTGCGGGAGAAAGGCCACAGGTGGTCCCGCCGAGGCGTGGGAAGGGCAGGACTTCAGCCTCCTGCCCTCAGTGGTCAGGCTGCCTGGAACGTCCAGGGTGCCAGGGCTGAGCAGGCTTCTAGCACCCCAGCTGGAGGTTAGCAGAGAACCAGGTGAAGCTGATGTGACATACTGTTGGCTACACCTGTACCAGCTGGTTTCCATAGCAACAGCTACAGCAAAAGGTGGGCCAGCAGGCTGAGGCCAGGGCGTGAAGCTGCCCAGCACAGGAAGCTCGTAGGGCAGCTGTTCCGTCTCAGCCCCAAGCCCCACAATCACAGGGGTCGTCATGACATTTACCACAGTCCTGAAGATTCCTGCTCGACTTGGTTTAGCTTTTTTTTAAACTGAATGATTTTTTTCAATTCTACTGTGCTTTACAGTTTTCAAACATTCCACACACCTGATTTCATGTGGTTTAGCTTGGATGCCTCTGTGTGGTTCACAGGTCAGAGGCAGGGGCCCAGCGTGAAGCATTGAAAGGTATTGGAGCTTACACCTAAAATACTCAGAAGTCCAAAATCAAGGTCCCAATTCACAATTGGATTCCAAAATGTAGACTATAAAATATCAAACAAATACAAAGAATCCATAACCCCAACATCTGTCTGTGCTGCGGAGCTCATGGTCCCAGACAGCTCTAGGAGGTGAAGATTTCCAGTCTGGAATCAAACAGCAAAACTTCTGAGCCTTGAAAATCCAAACTCTGCCCTTCTCAAGTCCTTGCATGTTGGATGAGATTTTTCTGGTCTAGTTTCTCTGGACCAAGAGTAACCAGCATCCCGAAAGCTAAGTGGACTTGAACGGTGAATGCTGTCCCTCACCTTCCAGGGAAGGGGGTCCCTAAGGTTAGAATCACTGCCTCCCAGCGACTTCGTAAGCTGGCTTTCTGCACCTCTCGGACAGACGATGCCAGGGTTCACGTTAAACCAGAGGAGATGTCTCTGGAAGCATCCTGGCCAGTCAGAGGGACACTAAGAAAGATTCGGCAAGTCCCGGAGAGCTGCCCCAGCCTTCAGGCGGCCTGAGATGGGCAAGTCTGGAGATTGCTGGGGCAGGTCTCCGCTGGCCCGGCTCCTGGGGGCTGAAACAAAGACCTTGCTCCCCACATGGTGTCATGAGAATTCAGTCCATCCCTACATGTGGAGGGGCCCCAAGAGAGCCGTCAGGCACGGCATCGTGTGAGTTTGGTGTCCCGGCCTCAGGGGAAGACGTTGGGAATCCTTACCACTGGGGGATTTAAGGCTGCCCAGTGGAGGGAGCCACCCAAAGTACACCCTACAGGTGATAAGGCAGTGCTCTTCTGAAAATAAACTCTGAACATGGATGGAAAGGGTGACGATGAGCTGGGGCCACTCACCTGCTCTCATCCCACTGGACTCAAAACCTGCCGGGTGCCCAGCCACGTCACCACCCTTCCACAGCGAGAGGACTTGCACCAGCAGAGCCGCGACCTGAGTCCCTGGAGAAGGACCACCCTCTGGCACCACGTCAAGGAAGGATGGCCCTCACAGGCATCCAGTGACTCCTGGGTGGCCTGGTTACCACGGCTGAGGCTGCCGAGTCCCAGAGGGGAGGCTTTTGGGCCCCACCTGTGCCCGGCCTCAGCTCCAACTGCTGTTGGATATCCACTAAAGGCACGTGTGCTAGTGCAGCCACGGGCACACACACATCACACACGTCACACGTGCACACATTGCACATACATGTCACATGCATGCAGTCACGTGCGCACATGTGTCACAATGCACGTGTCACACTTGCACACACATCACACGTGCACACATGTCACATGTGCATGCAATAACACACACACAACCCTGGGAAGAGAAAGCACCTTTTCCAGTTCCTGTACTTCTCAGTCAAACATCAATCACAACCCCTAAAAAAAAGGCCTAAAATCAAAGCTCACAAAGGTGAGCTGTTCCAAGGTGAAACCAACTCTGTTTTTGACATTACTGAAAAGAACGGGAAGCATGGCTTTCTGGCCGTTTCCCCCCCGTCGAGCTATCTGACGGTGACACCCTGAGGACAGTCAACACCCTCCCCGTAGCAGGCGCTGTCTCAGGGCTTCCCCGGGGCCTCCCCCGCCTGCCACCTCTCTGAGCAGCATTGCTCCATTTCACAACTAAGGGTGCTCCACCAAAAGGGTGAGTCAACACAGATGAAGTTACACAACCAGGTGATCAGCCTGCATCCTGTCCCAGCCGCTCCGCTCCCTCCAAGCACGAGCTGACTCCCCAGAGAGCTGCAGTGGACGGAGTCGCGTGGGCCAGCGGCACGAGGCCCTTTACACACATCATCCCGCCACCTCGATGCCCAGGATCTGGGAGCGGCTCACAGTGATTAGATGGGGGGGATTGAGGCATCCCCGGGGGGGCCCCTGATCCCCTCGCGCCTGCACGCTGACTCCTGGGGCCCTTGTCTAGTGCATGACTGACTCCATGGCCAAGTTCAGGAGCAAAGGGCCGCTGGGGCATAGGCAGACTCGGAGGCCGTGGCTCACTCGATGGAATAAAGTAGCCGTAAAACTGCAGCCATTTCCATAGACGCAACGTAGTTCTTTTAAGACACCAGCCTAGTGGCCTGTGAAAGGGGGGAACCATGGCTTCCAGTACCCAGATTACAACACACGCACCCCCCAAGACTTCCCACGCAGGACGCCTCGAGGGCACCAGGAAATGCCGACCGGTTGCTGCTGTGAGGAGGCCTGCCTCTGCTGAGGACACTCAGCCAAAGTCCACGACCAGGCCCAGCGGGAGAACCCGGGGCTGTCCGTCGCCTCCCAGCCCCGGAGCAGCCGCATTTGTACAAAGAGAAAGAAGGAATGTCCGAGGTCCAGCTCAAAGCCACGTCCAGCAGAGAGACCCTCTCCTCCTCCAGCCACTGGCTCATGCTCTGAGGCCTCCCCAGAGCAGACCTGGTCCCTGGTTGGGAACTGGGCCCACGAGAAGTCCCAGCCAGGAGCGCCCCAGCAGGCTCAGACACCGGGCCGAGGCGGGTGCCGAGGTGCCCTCAGGTCAGAGCCCAGAGGGAACCTGCTCTCGGGGCAGCAGTGCAGGGGCCGAGCTCAGGCACTGCTGATGGGGACGGTGCCCCCCCCACCCCCAGCCGTGCCCCGGGGCCCTCGGCCACTCAGGGGCACGGCCTGCGGGCGCTGGGAGCGGCCCAGCAAGAGAGTCAAAGACTGACCGGGAGGAAGGGGTGTGGGGTTTGGCAGCCCTGCCTTCAAGCTCGGACGCAGGAATGATTTCATACTCCAGCCACGGCCTTCAGAAGCCAGCTCCCGGACCTCCCAGGCGTCTCCCGAGCAAAGACACACGTGATGGAAAAGTATGACGCCCACCCATCAAACGGCAAGGTAAAGCGCGAAGCAGTGCCCCTTTCAGGCGGGAGGGTTGCGGCTCTCGCTCGCTTTACATTTAACGTCTCAGCAAATGGAGGGCCGCGCATGGGTCACAGTCACGGGGTCTTCAGCTCTGAGGCCTTAGTGTGCATCGCTCACAGCCAATTCACACGTCCAGGTGCTCTTGCAGCAAGGGCTTGTAAAATGGCATTAAAAAAGCACTTAGAACTCCCAGCCAAAGCAAGATCCTTCACTGAGGATTTACTGCAATTCCAGAAGACCTGCTTCCGTCACGGGGCCTCTCCACGGAGGCTCCTGGTCCCCCAGGACCGTGGGGGGCTTCACCACGGAGATGGGGCTCATCCCTCACCTGGAGACGTGCACTGGCTGCACGGGAACAGAGAGGTCTGGAGGGTGAGCAGTCAGAGATCGCAGGCTCTGGGAAACTCCTGAACACCTCCCCGCAAAAAACAACTGCTCGTGAAACACTGTTCTCTCACCAGCCTCCTGCCTCACTGCCTCCTGTCACGGGCTGAGTGCCTGTGTCTCCCCAAAATCTGATTGTTGAAGTCCTCACCCCCAAATGGGTTGGGTTTAGAGACGGGGTAGTCGGGAGGTGATTAGGGCTGGATGAGGCCATGAGGGTGGGACCCCCACGATGGGATTAGTGTCCCCATAAGAGCTCCCCTCCCCCATACCACGTGCAGACACGTGGAGGAGGCACCGCCCACAAGCCAGGAGGGAGCCCTCCCAGCAGCTCGAGTGGACTTCCAGCCCCAGGACGGAGCCATGCTGGCCCCTGAGCTGGCGGAGACGCCCCTTTCCCGGCAGCGAGGCCCAAGCCTGGGCCATTGTTCTCACAGCTGCCCCGTCTCGGCTCCTCCCAAGAGCAAAGCCGCCCACCTAGCACCCCTGGAAAGGACGGTTCAGAATGAGCAGCTGCCCCGGCGACCACACGGGGCAGGGACTCAGAGCTGCCCGTTTTGCTTCCATTATTGGAACACGTGCCATCAAGACAGCCCGGCGGACAGGCCGACCCAACACCTGGAATTTGTAAGGATTCAGTGCAACTTTTAAAGCTGGAAGTCCCTCAGGCTAACCCAGCAGGGATCCCAGGGGGCACAAATAAAGTCTAGACCCAGGTTCTTCTCAAATCCTTTTTAATCATACACATGGCTCCCAGTGCTGCAACTGATATAAAAGCAGTGATTCCTGATTCTGTATAAATTAGCATTTCTTGAGAATCATTATAATGCATCAAGATACAAGCACTGAACGGCAGGACCAAGGGAAATCACAGTGAGGAGAAACGTTTGAAAGTCACTCAGATGCCGAGACAGGCGGACACCTGTCGGAGGTCAGGTTGTGAGGACGGGGCAGCCGGGGGACGGCGGTCTCTGGTGGCTTCCATGGGCGACCCATCTGCTCCCCACCTCCCACAGCAGCGATGCACGCGGGGGACGAGTGACACTGAGCTTCTTTCAGTACCTGGCTGTCATTTCCTCTGGGGTCACCCCCTCACGTGGGCAGTCCTGCAGTGCAGACCCCAATCTGCCCCTCTGACCACGGCTCGCCCGGCCCTACTCCGTCCGTGTACCCCAGGGGGCTGGGGCCCAGTGAGTCAGGCACAGCACCCGGGTTTGGTCCGTGCGGGCGGCCTGCAGCTGGTGATGTCCACGGTCTGCGGCGGCCCCTGGGCTCTCTGCCGCAGGATCACGGGCACCACCATGTCAAACAAGGTTTCAAAGAGCAGGTCCACGTTGTGCCCGGTCTTCGCGCTGGTCTCAAAGCACATCTGCTCCGCGGCCGGCACGTCCTTCTCGTCCAGCATCTTGTACTTGATGATCTTCTTGTAAAGGGCCACCGCGTCCTCCGGCTGCACCTGCCTGGGCAG